CATCACCGTATATCTTTTATATTTAAAATCGAGGTCACATACCATGCCGAGGGAAGGAATCGAACCTTCTGATGTCTGACTAATAGTCAGATGCATAGAACCACTATGCCATCCTCGGCAATTATGAAATCAATGCATCCGTTCACTTTTTGGACGTTATGATCATAACTGAACAAGGCCAACTGCGGACATGTATATACCCTAAACCAGCAGCTGGACCTTTTATACTCCCGTATACATCAGAATATCCACGTCATATTCATCGTAATATACCCTATGCTGCTTTATTAGGAGCTGCTAGAACATGTTCTAATGTAAATGATTTGAATTCAGCACGAATTTGCATTGATCTGTCGTTATTATTCAATAAATATCCACCAAATTTTATCTCAAAAACACTTTAGAGATTCTTTAATGTCAATAATGCAATATCAGTACTACAGACATTCAATGAACAAGATTATCATCAACTACACCGAATATCATTACAGCAATCAACACGATGGGAAAAGAAGCTTAAACTAATGTTAAACAACCCTATTCAATCACCAACAGTCTTACAGCAAGCCTCATGGAATAAAAACATCATGCATCCGCGAATTCAATATGATTGCTCAACAGCCATCGATCATCGAAAACAATTCTTAAAATGGTGACAGAAGTATTATTAAGACCGGGAATCTACACTACTGAATGTGAAAATTCGATTGTTAACAGTTACTAATCCGATATTAGAAACTTTCATAATCTACAAAAAGCCTCCACGAACCATTCTAACCAAAATGAAACCGAACTGAATCTCAACATATGTAGATTTACACATTTATTTTAACATTGATTGAATAGAATAGACATTTATTTTCAAAAACAAACAAATTCTATATTTCCTTTCTTTCGAAATTTTAATAAACCATTCTAAAACTTAAATAAATGTGCCTAATATTCTCAACTGAACACTTTCTTCTTTTGATTTTCACCACGGATATCAATATCGGTTTCCCTCTCATTCTAGATAAGCAATAGAAAAAGAGATCCACACTGAAACTTGACCAACGGCCATGAACTTTAAACATATAAAAATCCAAACAACCCATAAACAATCATATAATAAACACATTGCATATGCGAAAAACAACAATGCTTCGTGAATCGGATCACATCTTACGCTTCTCACCAAAATCTTCACTGCGTCAGTCCCAAACAAATGTGAACCGGTACGTAGCAAACTCGGTATCAACAAAAACTTCGATCACTGAAACTCATTCTTCCATTACTTTGCCCAACGCTCTCGTAAAAAAATCTATGAACATTGACAACATAAACTCTCCACCATGCAGATATTCACTCTAACACCACAATCCATCTTAGAAGACCTAAAAACAGATAGATACACGACCAAAAGGACCTCTAATATGCATATGTAAATCTACTTCCTTACTGTGATAATGGAAAACAACAAAAAACGCATTCAAATACACATGAAACACCGATCCTGCCACCACAGATTTTTTTCACACTCTTCAGTTAACTGTCAGTCGAAACATACCACGGAACACAAACTACTTGATTCTAAACTTACCTGATGAGTCCCTTGAGGAAGGACGAAACGTCGAATGAAGCTTTGAATCGTTTCATTGTACTCACACCCTCCATCGAAGTAGGTCCGTTTTCAGAAAAAAATTTAGGATATGTACAGCTTTACTTCCTCTACAATTTGGTCAAAAAATATATATAGCATAGGGAGGGGGATGTACCTCCCTCTTAAGTCTATAATAATTAAAAATAACGAAGTCTAATATCGTGGTAAACCGTGTTTTTTGACGAATTCTAACGCTTTACTGTCAAATGTGGCTCTGTCCGATGCATATTCAGCAGCAACATCTTTAAAATCCAAAGAATAATAATTACTTTAGCAAACGATATGTAATAAAAAGAAAAAAAGAAATACCTGGTCTGAGTGCATGATTAATATCAGGATTATCTATAAGTTTCACAACAGCTTTAACAACATCAGTTAAGGGTGTTGTTGGTCTCCATAAATGTGCTGAATTAAGTATTTCAATACATATTGCACCATCTTCGCCGACATTAGGATGATAAATAGGCGTTATAAAACGAACTTGTGGTGCCCTAAATGGGTATTCAGGTAGTATTTTCAATTCTGTTTGAAATGCAGCTTGATTAAACGGGTGAGAAATCGGAAGAATTCTCCCTCGTATTATAATTGATCCATTAATATCAAGAGGTGGTTCACCAAGAGTTGGTTCATCAACAATAAATTTATCTGGTGGGTCATATGATTCTAAATCTCTTAGTCTTGCTAATTCAATTATTATGCGTCTATTTCCTTGTGCAGCCATGTGTCCAACGTCTTTGATCTAAAAATTAACGAAAATTATTTGTTAATAATCGTCCTTCATTTGTTAAAGTTAAATTTTGCGTTTGAAGCTCTTTTTTTCTTTCCAATATAGAACTTGACAGTTTAGATGATATAGAATGTCTATACCAGTTATCAATATGTTTTCCATTGATTATGTCTATGTGTAATTTCTTGTCCGAAAACAAACCATAACTATTTTGAAAGGTAACACAAGATAAAAAAAAGCTTACTTTTGCTAATTTTACAAATAGAAACAAAGAATTCAACTGATGCAGATATACAACATACAACTTTGAAATTTGAACGGACAGTACAAAAAGAAAATTGAAATTACTTGAAAAATGACATCACTACTGATAATGTAGCACTTTGTTTTTAAAACTTATAAGTATTAGTAACAAAATTATTAAATAATACGAATTGAAACAATATATGAATCAGATTTTTACTAGAAAATTGAAGCGAGAATAGCTTGATGGTTTGATGAGATCATAACCTGAAAGATACGCATATTGAATCATAGGGATAACGATGCAGTTGTGGATGTGTGGCGGTTTGTATGAATGTGTTGGTGTGGGTTTGAGTAGGTATGAGTGTGGATCCTGCTGACGAGCAAATCCACAACAACATTTACTACTTCAAGAATTTATTAAGCAAGCAAATTCCTTGCATGAACCTAATCAATAGAATGTAAAGTGAAACTATTCTATTCCAAATAAGAACGGTCGATCCAATTTCGGTGCGGTTCCCAAAAAGCCTAAAAACTGACAACGATTGAGTGTCGATTTTATCGATTTGTAATGAATAATTCATGCATAGGCGGCAAAGGCATTAGGTTTGGGTATGCTCAAGCCTACATAAGACAGGCGGAGGGTAGGCGTCGGTAGTCTTAAAATTAAGGGTGGGGGTGTAGGTCTGTGTTGTGGGTATGGTTTTGCGTGGGATATGCTTTTTCAATGTGGTGTTGGTATGGATACGGGGACGATAAATAGGAACACCCAGCCGCACCGATAGCACTCATACCTATCCATGCTGTTGAAATGAACCAGTATCGTAGTTTTTTGCCTTCTTTTCGATTCGTCTATTGAAAATACATGATTAATTATTATTAAGTTTCTGCAACCGTTAGTTTGCGCAGTAAATAGAAAAACTTGTTCCATATGCTTCGTGTAGAATCGAACTGTGGAAAATAGAACATTACGTAGAAGATTGATATTTTTCGTTTTCAGGTGTTTGATCAGCAGTGGAAGGTATCGGTGTGATCGTGTGGGTGCGAGTGTGGGCTTGGGTATCGATGCTATAAGCTGCATTACTCGTACCCAAACTGCAGTTAACTAATCGTTTGAGGATTTAAAACATTTTTGTAAATGAATACGTATTTCTATTAAATATTCTTCGTTGAATGGTATTGATTAGAGATGGATATTTTAATGAAATTCTATATTTATATTTTCATTCATGAAGGTACATCTTTCAAAAGCAAGGATGCAATATTACGTCTGAGAGTAAAAAAGGATATTTTCTGCTTGAACGTCTCAGTTTGTTTAAATGCATGGAAATGCATGGATTTTTGTTTCTAACCCATTTAGTCGCATAATTTTTACCTCGGCCACATCTCTCAAGTTAAAAACAATACCTATAAATGCTGATCGAACTGGTTCATGATAAAGTCGTTTTTGCTATACGCAATACGCAATTCGAACAGGTTTATTCACTGCTATTTTACTAAAGAATAACGTATTTTTTAGATATTGACTACAATATATTCCTTTTGTATTAAGATTCTTTTTAAAAAGCAAATTTTTCTTAAAGATTAACTAATACTCACATTCCTTTTATGGTCAAAAGCACTTCTCTGCGATAAAAAGCTTGTTACCGTTTCGGCAAACACTTAAAAATATCAGACTGAAAGTTAAACCGTTTAAATATATCCGTTATTGAGATAAATTTCATAAGTACTTAATAGAGACAATAATCATAAATTTTCATTTTATTTGTCTGCTTTCTTTCTCTTCATAGAGATTTTTTCTTCTGTGCCTTTAGTGGTCAACTCCTGTAGAAAAAGGGTGTGGGTGTGAGGGGAGAGGGATGTGGGGATGAACGTGGGTGGGTGGGTGTATCGATGGAAATTGATGCTTTACACCCACACCCAATACCTTGTGATAAAAAGAGAAAGACATCAACATTAAATATGTGCCACATCCGTATCAATCCTCGTCCTACTATAAGACACTGAGACCTGCACAAAGACTAGAAGTACAAGAAGACTAATTACTCATTTTAGTACTGAAGTTAAAAGTTAAATACTCAAAAGTTATACATTAATTATCTTATAAACCATTTCAATCAGAACATAACCCAAATGAGACAAACGAAAATAGAGTTAGTCATCAACTAAATGAATAAAAACACGAATTGATTTTGGAATAGCATTCTTTGGACTAATACCGCAAAACTTTTATCGACGCTGAGACCGAAACAAAATTGACCAAAACGGTAGTAAAAATGCTGGTTTTCGCGCATCTATATTTACGAAACTCAATCTTCAATCGTTTTCAATCGTTTTCAATATTCGCAGCATCACGCATACAACGTAAATATAAAATATTCAAAATCATTTGTTTCATTCTCAAATCTTTCCAAAGATTTACTCACCACGGTCAAGTAAAAAATACTAAATATTCTGATAAGTTTAATTTTGTTTTGCTTCTTACACGTTGTGCTTGTTTTTTTTTCAAATGATTAGCTTCTTGTTTTTGCAACATGATAACACTATCTATTTTGTTTCTGTCTGCTTTGCCTTTTCTTTTGAATTCTTTTTAGATAAGCATTCTGTTGATAAGCATCACACAGTAAGACTCAATCAATCGCGGAAAGACAATGGTACGACTACATCCAAAGGAAAAGACCTCATTTGCGTCTCCTGAAAAGTATTTGCATATGGAGTACACCGAGAGTGTGGGCGTGGCGTATAAATATTCTTTTTATCTTGAGGGTGTGGATGTGCGTGTGGGTTAGTCGGTGTTGTGAGAGATTGAAGGTGTGGGTGTGGGTGCGTGTGGGTGTGGGTGTGGGTGTGGGTGTGGGGTGTGGGTGTGGGTGTGGGGTGTGGGTGTGGGTGTGGGTGTGGGTGTGGGTGTGGGTGTGGGTATGGGTAGGGATA